AACTTTTAGTTTGTTCGTACATATCCTTCTTACATAGAAATAGTCTAAGTAGACATGAAACTTTTCAACTATCGCACGATGTGGTTAAAACGTGAAAATGCAATACAATTTCTTTTAGGAACTTTAATCTTATTGAGTTGTGCAACTGATAGAAACGGCACAACGATGACAGCTATTATTAAGGTAAACGGCAAAATTAATATATTTGTATTATTATTAAGATTATTATTAAGGTATTATTAACGTTATTATTAAGGCTATTATTAAGGTAACGGCAAAATTTATATATTTGTTGAATTATTATTATTATTATTTGTTAAGTGCAAGTAAAAATATTTATTATATTTGTTAGATTTTTATGTGAATCCTACCAAACTAATTTTTGTCACATTTTATCTAAAAGTAAAAATATGTTATTATATCCCTAACAGCACGCGACGTACTGCGTATCATCCCATTTTCGTACTCATTGTACTGTGATCATCTGTGACGTACTAAGTTGAACGCTAAAACGTCACTTATAGTATCATTCGGTTTTCTTTCGCGCGCGAATGTTCTCAGATTTCACTCGGGGATACGAAAATGATACGTACGCTTTTCTATCGCGTGTGTACATTCTCAGGTTTGACTGAAATGATACGTACGCATTTGTATCGTGCGCGTATTTCTCAGGTACCGACTCAAAGTACGGAAACGGTACGTATACCAACGCCACCTGATACGTCATTTCTATTTCGATCTTTTTCCGGTAGCCGAGTAGCGTGAGTACCGTCTATTAATGTGGTGACGAGCAGTGACGAGGCAGATCGATTGATCGATCTAATTAATATCAAAGATAATCCTTTTTCTTCCATAATTTTAATTTTATAAAATATTGAATAAAGTTAGCGAAACAATTTTTACATATAAATTACATAATATTTCTTAATATTTCGTAGAAATTTTCATACAGATATTCTGATAAAGAGTTTGAGATTATCCTAGGTTGCAAGGCGGGAGCGGTGCACTTGGACACGGTGCATTTGAACACAGCCAATCACAGCACCGTGTGATTAGAGACATTTGTAGGGTCCCTTGGAACAGCGACTTGTGATTGGACTGTGTCCAATTGCCCCGTGTCCAACTGATATACACTCTTGCAAGGCCGCATAGCATTTGCTTATTGGTTTTAGGTGAGGATGCCATTAGCAGTAAAGGTTCCTAGTGTAAAGGGACGTCTACATTGGAAGTAAACAGTAAGAAGTAGGAAGTAAGAATAAGAAATTGACCAATTATAGTTAATTATTCTTCTCACATTCGACTGTGGTTGGTCAATTTCTTACTCTTACTTCCTACTTCTTGCTATTTACTTCCAATGTAGACGTCCCTTAAGATTCTCTGCTATCGCTGGCTCCCACCGACTTCAAGTAATTGAAAGCGTTGTTCACCGACGGCCGAGAAGGCCGCGGAAGCGAAAAATCGCAATCAATTAGGTTATTTGTGTTTATATAAGTCTGTTATAAATAATCTCAATAAAAGAGTATATTATTCATTTGTAAAAGAATTTATATTAATAAAAACGAATTTATAATGAAATAAAAATATCCAATTAATAACCTAACCTAACCTATATATGAGCGCGCGCGCCTAGCTGCACATATGTGTGTGCGTCTATACGTGATGTACTGAACCTTCCCGTTTTCATTCCGTCCTGAGACTGCCGATATCGCTGCGAACGTTCGCACGACATTTGCAGCGAAATTCTATAGTAGTTGCTACCCCAGACATAGGGACGTACTCAGAACGTACTCAGTCGATCGCAGTACATATGAGAATATTCTGAGATGATCGCAATATACGCATTGCGATCTACTCAGAACGTCCCCGTGCTGTTAGGGTCGTGTGTTATATAGTTATGTTCTGTGTTTGCTGGGATAAATATGTTATAAATTTTCTGGTTAAAAAAAATTGTAAGCTTTCTCTCTCTCTTTCTCTCTCTCTCTCTCTCTCTTTCTCTCTCTCTCTCTCTCTCTCTCTCTCTCTGAGTTAACTGCTTTTGCTCAAATTTCAGTCTGC